TTCTTACTAAGTATCATATTGTTAATTTATTTTAGATAGAGATGAGACTAAAACCACATGAAATAAATCGGCTAATTTTCAGAACAACTACAAACCAAAAACACAAAAATATGTTTGTTTTTATAAAACTTAACCGATTTTATAGTACTTTATTGTATCCATTAAAGATAAAACCAACTTACCAAAGCCATTTGCGTCATCACCGCAAGACAGCGCGGAAATATCTATCTCACTTCAACCGGTTTATATATAACGGAACCGGAGTGAGATAGATATAATGACGGTCTCTTTCACCTATGACGCTCCTGGCTTTTAGTTAGTTGGTTTTATCTTTACAGATAGATGTCATCGAATACATGTGTATTAAAAAATAGTGATGTGTTTTGATCACTATGTAATAATCGATGGCTTAAGCTAAGTGCTGGATGATTTTAAGGTACTCTTCAATATGTTCGAGATAAATTTCGTTCGTTCGTTTTTCGGGCTACAAAACGGAGTCGGGGATTCACTTGAAAGACAACAGACTCACTACGCACGCGCAACACGACAAATAATCAAAACTGATTCCGAAAAACTAACATTTTATTTACTAGTGGTTGTGGTTGTCATTTTTATTCTGCCACCTAACAGTTTAAAAAGAAATGCTGCTATTAAAAATTTATCATAAAAATATATAAAAATCTGACTGTTATAAAAAGAGTTAAATCTTTTTAATGACTACTTAAATATTTTTAATGACATAAGTGTTTTCTAAAAAGACTTAAATATTTTTCTATTTCGGAAGAAAGATTTAAATCACAAATCATTTTGAAAAAGTCTTAAATCTTAAAGCCCCATACTCATACTTCGCTAGTTCACTTCGTTCCTTCCTCGCGTCCCTTTTTTGCAAAAGTAGCAAAGGAATTATCACGAACACAAAAAAAATATTAAAATATATAAATCGATCTTGGATTTCATTCGTAGTTGATTTCTTGATTCGGCAGTACGTCTGTACAGGGTGTCCCATTTTCGTGTGTTTTGCAGGGTTTCTCGTTTATGAGTCGAAATACAAAGATGCGGTTTTCACATTACGCTGTTACTTTTTTATGAAACTAAAGATGCTACAAATTAGGGAGATATCGCGGTACAAAGATGGCAGAAAAATAATATTTTAATTTTTTATCTTGAAAACGAAAAGAGATAGACTAATGAAATTTTATGGAAGCATTACTGTTTTGAAAACACACTTTCTGGTAATTTTCTCACTTTTTTAAAATGAGTGGAAGGGGTTGAAATAAACTACCCCTATTATACTTGTTAACGAAATTTAAAGAAAAATCTTATTAAACGCATGCAAAAAAATTAATTTGTATAGTTTAGTTTGTTTAGAAACTTTTTTATCTCTCGTATTTTTTTGATAAAACTCACCGATTTGAAATTAAAAAATAAGATGTAAAGCATTACCCCATGTCAGGACAAAAAACATTTTTATTTTTTAATATGTACTTTTTTTATTATTTTGTACTTTCATGAATTAAAATACAGAATTAAAAATTGTCTTGGTAAATAATTTTTAAGAGGTTATCGTTCAGAAGAAAATGTAACGATATTATTACGAAATAAAACTGTTTGACAGCAACCTACTAGATTCTTTATCCAAAAATGTTTTTTGTCCTGACATGTAATGCTTTACATTTTATTTTTTAATTTCAAATCGGTGAGTTTTACTAAAAAACACAAGAGATAAAAAAGTGTCTAAACAAAGTAAACTATCCAAATTTTTTTTTTGCATGTATTTGATAAGATTTTTCTTTAAATTTCGTTAACAAGAATGATAAGGGTAGTTTATTTCAACCCCTTCCACTCATTTTAAAAAAGTGAAAAAAGTACCAGAAAGTGTGTTTTCATAACAGTAATGCTTCCATAAAATTTCATTAGTCTATCTCTTTTCGTTTTCAAGATAAAAAATAAAAACATTATTTTTCCGCCATCTTTGTACCGCGATATCTCCGTAATGGTTGACTTTTGACCCAACGTTTATGAAGCAAACTACCCTTTATTTTGAACAAGGAATCAGCCCCTGAAGTTTTTCGCATTTGATTTGAAACACCCTGTATATGAAATGAACAAAATTCTTACAGCTTTAGTGTACATTATTAAATAATATTTTCTTGCCTTTAGCTGTGTATTTTTTCTAATTTCGTAAAATCGAAAGTAGAGAAAAAATAAAAAAAAATAAAAAGTAAAAAGAGAATTGTTTTGCTTGGCGTAAAGGGGGGAACCAAGCTCTGGTTTCTGGACTTACCCTTCATCAGGTGGGCTGTCCAGGGGCTAGTTCTCACCGATACGGCAAGCAAAACTCCTTCTATATCAACAGACGATGTCGTAAAGTGTCGGTGAGATATTAGTGCATCTCCCGACACTTTACGACATCGTCTGTTAATATAGAAGGAGTTTTGCTTGCCGTATCGGTGAGAACCAGCCCCTGGACAACCCACCTGATAATGAGTAGGCCCAGAAACCGGTTGTGGGAGTGGAGCTTGGTTCCCCCCTTTACGACAAGCAAAAAAATTTTCTTTTTACTTTTTATTTTTTTATTTTTTCTCTACTTTGGATTTTTCGAAATTAGAAAAAATACACAGCTAAAGGCAAGAAAATATTATTTATTAATATACACTAGAGCTGTAAGAATTTTGTTCATTTCATATATATTTGAGCGGGCCGAAAAACGCTCTTTACCATCTTTTGACGGGAGATGCACTAATATCTCACCGACACTTTACGACATCGTCTGTTGATATAGAAGGAGTTTTGCTTGCCGTATCGGTGAGAACCAGCCCCTGGACAGTCCACCTGAAGAAGTGTAGGCCCAGAACCCGGTTATGGGAGTGGAGCTTGCTTCTCCCCTTTACGACAAGCAAAACAATTTTCTTTTTAATTTTTATTTTTTTATTTTTTCTCTACTTTCGATTTTTCGAAATTAGAAAAAATACACAGCTAAAGGCAAGAAAATATTATTTATTAATGTACACTAAAGCTGTAAGAATTTTGTTCATTTCATATATATTTGAGCGGGCCGAAAAACGCATCTTTTGACGGGAGATGCACTAATATCTCACCGACACTTTACGACATCGTCTGTTGATATAGAAGGAGTTTTGCTTGCCGTATCGGTGAGAACCAGCCCCTGGACAGCCCACGTGATGATTATGTGTTATCTGTGGTTATACTCTGTTATACTATAAAATCCTTAAGTGACTGACATACTGATTAATCACGATCCTGCTCAAACCACTCAACGTAAGAAGCTCAATTTTGGAATACAGGTTGATTCTAGGGTGTAGGGGTTCGTTAAGAAGGGATTTTCCGAAATTCCAGTTCCAAGAGGGTGAAACCACCCCTCAAATATTACAATATTTTTTATTTATAAACGGTCAAGTTTCCGAAAAAACGCTTAAACACATATATTTTATTTTGTTTTTTTACATATTTAAAGATTTTTTAAAAATGTATACAGGGTGTTTCGAAAAAATCTGGTCATTGATTAATCGCGATCCTGCTTAAAGCGCTTGACGTAAAAAGCTGATTTTTGGAAAACAGATTGACTTTAGGGTGTAGAGGTTCGATAAGAAGGGATTTTTCGAAACTCGAATTTTAAGGTGGTGAAACTATCCCTCAAATGTTAAAATATTTTTTATTTAAAAACCGGTGAGTTTTTCGGAAACGCTTAAACACATATATTTTATTTTGTTGTTTTACATATTTTAAGATTCTTTATAGATTTATACAGGGTGTTTCATAAAATATGACCAATGAGTAATCACGATTCTGCTTACACTGCTTGACGTTTAAAGCTGATTTTTGGCAATTTGATTTGGCGGATTGACTGTGGGGTGTAGAGGTTCGATAAGGAGGGGTTTCTCGAATCTCAAATTCCAAGAGGGTGAAAACGACCCTCAAATATTACAGTATTTGTTATTTAAAAAACGGTTAGTCTTTCGGGAAAACGCTTGGACAAGCATAATTTATTTGTCATTTTTACATATTTTGAATTTTTTTAAAAAATCATACAGGGGTTCCAAAAAGTTGGGTAATTTCTTAACCACGATTCTGCTTAAACTGCTTGACGTAAAAAGCTTATTTTTGGCAAACGGATCTTTCGAAAGTCAAATTCCAACGAGATGAAACTACCCTCAAATATTATCAAGTTATATGATAATATCGCCATATTGTTTTTTCTCATGCTGACCTAAATGTGAGAAAATTTTATCCAGTTTGTATGTTAATGGAAATTCTTGCTTTGATTTATCATCACCATTACAAATGATTAATTCGACGCGAACGAAGTCGCTGGTACACACTAGTATTTTATAAAGGAAATGTCCTTGTAGTCCAATGTCATATGATGCTAGTTTTAAGGCCTTTTTGTGCAGAGGATGTTGTTTTATTTGCTAATTGACTTAGTCAAACTGTCCTGATGATGGGAATAAAATTCTCGAAAGCTTGACAAATATGAAAAAGTAGATTTATTAGTCTGTGTTGGTGATTATTGACTGCATCCTTACTTAAATTTTGAGTTTTTTTACAGATTTAAATGTATATATTTTTTTAATATATTTTTAATTTAAATATTACATTTTTTTATAATAGTAGTACTTTAGTTAATTTGAGACACATTTATCTTTGTAAATATATCTAAAATTGTTTTGTTTAATCACATATTGTCTGAAGTATAATGGTGCGTATTCACTTGCAACAAAACACTCCAAACCAACCAAACGCGCCGCGCACTCCAAACAATCTGCAACAAAACATTTTTCGGGTGCGCTCTGAACGACCTGCAACAAAACATTTTGCGCGGAACGTTACGCCTGTTTGCGGTGTTCGCTGCATTCCCACCAGTAATCAGTGTTAGTGTGTTTGTCGACAGCAGATGACAATCATCTGCTGTAATACATTCAACTGAAATAAAAATACCTATTTAAAGAGAAATATATTAATTTACTACTATTCGTTCTTTATCAATATTACTTTAAATTATTTTCTAATTCTTAAAGGACTTACATGCATAGAAAAACTAAATAATACTAAATAATAACAAAAATTTACATAAAAAAATATTCATTATGATCACTCTGGGGCTCGATTTTCTACATCAGGATCGATCACCTTAAAATAAGAAAAATATATGAAAATAATTTCATATGCCTTTACAGAACTTAACTGTAACTAACTAGTAAATATTATCCACACACAATAAATAAATAATATCCGAATAACAATATTTTTTCTCAAACAACGTATTTGGTACTACGAGTATATATGGTTATGTTTAATTTTTCTCTAGATAGTATATGTTATTAAAGATTCTGAAACTCCGCTATTGATATTATCTAGTCTTGAAAAAAGTATTACATCAAGTCGGTTATCAAATGAAACTGTAAATAAATATTGTCTACATATATCGTCAGTCTCACACACACCAAAAAGTCGCCAAGTATTAAAAAATAGCTAATGGCGGGAGCAAATCCGGACAAGCTAGAATAAATTTTATTTTATTTAGTTTAGTGTAAGGAACCACGTGTTAAATTTGCACCACCCCCCAAAGCCCGGATTTGGCCGCCATCTTGGAAAAAGTGGCTAAAATTCTGTTTATTTTTCATTATTTTTCAATAACTCGATTTCTATCAACTTTAGTGCAAATAATGTACAGACCAAAATTAAAGAAGAGGAAAAACTCTATAAAAAACGTTCTGTGTACTTTTCCCGTGCGACGACCCGTTTCCAAGTTACACGCTAAATATATTATAAGCAGTTATTATTTCTTCTATTCTAGGCAGTTCTTGTCTTTCCGAGAACCTTACTCTTTTTATTTCTCCACGCATTTAGTGGCTGCGACACCACATCCGCATTATACAGACAAGAAAAAATGAAATTCGTTAAAGTTTTACAGTAAGAAAAATAATTATTACAGACAGCTCAACAAACTTTCAAAGACCCAAACGCATCCCCAGAAGATATAGAAAAAGCTGGAGAACGATTTCTTCTTCATCTATATGGATCCCAAACCAAACCAAAAAATGCGACTCATTAGATAAGTACAGATACCCAGTGTTTCGTAAAATCTATTGGTACGTATACATTGGTGCGCTGCGCAGCTAACGCGCAGCGAGCTTTGTCCGCGCGTTACTTTTATTGTTTTAACGAACATCCCGCGATCCATAGAAATCCCGCGAACATTCGTCTAGTCGTTAATCATGTCTCTATCGTCCGAGAAGAACTACGCAATTTTAATCATGAGTAGTGCGACTCTTTAAACACTCCATTTATAAACAATATTCATAGAAAAACACAAAAAAGGGAATTTATTCAAAGAAAATACACATAGTCACTGATAAATGCGCGCCGTGTCTTCACCGGCCGTCCCAATTGAACAACGAACAAACAAAGCGGAGCGTCGAAAAACTGACTGGAGATGGTTCTCCGCTACCTTTGCAGCAACTTTAAAACACGTACCAATAGAGGCGAATAGGGGCGCGCGTGCCACGCGTTCGCGGCACAGCGCGCCAATGTATACATATCATATTACCACAAGCTTACCAAACCTAGCATCATTACCGCCGACCAAAGACGCAGCTCGCTTGCACTCCTTCCGTACGTACAGCTATGGTATGGAAAAGAAAAATCACCTCTGGATTGGGGATGGAAAAATTCAAAGAATGGGTTGCCCATTGCTACTTCCCAAGATGCAGCTCCCCAAGAATTATTAAATCTGATTTCATGTAAATGTGCCAAAAGTTGTAATACATCTTATAGTTGCCGTAAAGCAGGTTTGCGTTGCTCGGTAATGTGTGCACATGTCAGGGCAAATCATGTTCGAATAGTTTGGAGGTGGCAAAATTAGACGAAGATGAGTACGAGGACAATTTTCCTCTCGGTAAAGATCAACGAAAAGAATATTCTGCACCTTATGAACCAGATCCGGAATATGATACAGATGTGGAAGACATTCAGGAAGATTATATTGAACAGCCAGTAACTGAAAAAAATCGAAGGAACTCTGATGAACCTTCCACCTCAAAAGAAACCTAAGTTGACGACATGTGGATTAGGCCTATTGGAAATGGGGAGACCACTCAAAAAAACGCGCCGGGTACCTACTTTACCTCATGGCAGCTCCCTGAGAGATAAGGCGGTTAAACTTGATTTTCCACCAGTCGCGCAAAAATAAAAATTTAGTCCGTTATTGCGGCCATAATGCAAATTGCGTTCTTCCATTATGACCGCAACAGCAAGCTACTGACAGCCAGTAGCAAACAAGTTTTTAGGCTTTATGTATTTAGGCTTTATGTATGTGGTGCCGTTTAAGATGGTGTGGAAACAAGTACAGTTAACCCCGGATATGTATATTGAACACGTACATTATATGAAACTTTAATTTTGTTTTCGTATAATTCGATACTTTGGGTAGTCGCACGAAAGAAACCCATACAACGGTTTTTATAGAGTTTTTCCTCTTCTTTAGTTTTGGTCTGTACCTATTTTGCACTAAAGTTGATAGAAATCGAGTTATTGACAAATAATGAAAAATAAACCGAATTTTAGCCAACTTTTTCAAGCTGGCGGCCAAATCCGGGCTTTAAGGGAGTTTCAAATTTAATACGTGCTTCTCGACACCAAAATAAACAAAATAAAACTTATTCCAGCTTGTCCGGATTTGCTCCCGCCATCGATGCACTTGCCGACTGGCCTATAATTGGTTAATGCATTTTGACTGAATTTAAAAATGAAACTAATAATTCGTAGAAGACTTTTTCAGAATATAGCTCTATATTCTGGAAGAAATCTTATCAATTGATATATTAAATAAATAAAAAAAATGTTGGGCCAAATAAGGATGTATTAGCCTGTTAGCCTATATTTGATATTAATTAAGCTTTTAGTTACGTAATCGCGGAGGGCGCAATTTTTAAATTCATTGTTGCCAACCATGGACATATTCGGCGCCTTGCTGACTAACTGGAATTCAAATTTCGCGCTAGGGATTCAGGTGGTGGTTCTGCTGTAAAAAAGTCAAGTTACCGCATTTATTTATTTATTTCCTGATATTGTAATTCGTTTTGACACTTTAGTTTTGTATTACGAGTTTTTGGTTTAAATAAATAGTGTTGTGATACTTTAAGCTTAAAAATGTTTACTGGCAGACATTGCAGTCGAACATTGTTCTTTTTAGAAGCTCTTTTAGTGCAAAGTGGTACAAGATAGCTTAATAGCGGTAAAAAACTCATCGCAACTTCATTAGAGTATTTTGAACGGGAAAGCGGTAATAATGGCCCGTTATGTCCCTTTAGTGCTGTTAAGTAGGTAAGTTTTGTTGATGTAAATAATAGCTGTTTATATATTTATAATTAATTTATTTTTGCTTCCTAAAATATTTTGATTAAAAGAAAATATATAAAAGTGGGCGACTCTGTGCCGGTCAAGGTCAAGTTTCTTTGGTATGAACTGTATATTGTATACAAATCTTTAGATTTAAGCTGGCCGCACACAGAAAGAGCAAAACAGTCAAAAACGTTTTTGACTAAATCTGTTTTCATATGATGCTTCATTGCAAATTAAATGGGCTAATGCACACATCCTTCGCGATGTTTAAAAGAGGTTTAGGTTCTGTATCTGCTGCCAAGCATATTTAATTGCAAATAAAACATTTTGCTTCTCTTCAATACACAGAGTGAGCCTTAAATAAGTGTAAATATTTTCAGTCCATTTTAAATCACGATTTATTTATTTATTCGTGGCAGAAGCATCATCAAGATTACATTTCATATACATATAATATCACATACAACAACAAATAACAACAATAATTACATATAATAATAATAATAATAATAAGTAAAATTGCAAACATAAAAGTTATACATGAAACCACAGTTCATTAAAACATAGATATAAAACAAACATAGCATGTATAAACATCATTTGAGACGGGAAACTAAACATGTTTTGCCCTGAAGCGGGCGACGTCAATTGCGTTCGACTTTGCTGCCATAAGGTCCTCTATAGTGCACTTGGCGGGGCACAGTGGGCAAGTATACATATGTTGTGTGGTTTGTAGTGCTCCACATTCGCAGAGGTTGGAGTCCACATGGCCCACTTGGCAAGAGTGTCTCTCGATCTCGCTGTGCCCGTACGCAGTCTGTTAAGAGCTCTCAGTTTTCGTCGCTTCCTGGTGCCAATTGTTCCTTCGGCTCTATCCAATGTTGATTTGAGGTATAAATCACGATAAAAGATACATATTTTCTCTTTATCGTTATTCATATAAGTCCAAAATAACCTAGTTATTTTATTTTGAAAATAAAAAAAATCTTAAATTTTGAAAACCACTCGATTAATATTAAATTTTTCTGGGTTTTCTTCGTTGTAAATTTTATCTACTACCTATGTTGCCACAATATTATGCTTTTCTATCAAAAACTAAAAAAAAACATTTTTTTTTTTAATTCCAAATTTCCATTTTTTTTTCGAAAAAAACGTCAAAGACTTATTATAACTCACTTTTAACTTATTTAAGACCCACCCTGTATAATGGTTTTATATAAGAAAAAAACGCTTTTGCCGGGACCCAAATTTTTTAACTAAAATACTTTTGCTCTTTATGTGTGTGTTCAGCTTTAGGCTGTATTCCGTTGTTAAACCAGGCGAACCAGACCAGTAAACTACGGTAAAGAGCGGTTCCTGAAAAACATCGGTTAAATACGGGACGGTTTGATAATAGATATTTACGATACAAGTGAGTTAATAGCACCATTAAGATAGGCGTGTGAAAGTTGCACAACGAGTGCGTTGCACGAGTTTTGTAACCACACAAGTATCTTAATGGAGTTAACTCGCATGTATTGTACATTATTTTATCTACGTCTAACTATAAAAACACACAATGAATTTTAAAAAATTTTGTACTTAACTATATACCTATCCTAAAAATCAATTTCAACCTTTGTTCAAATAACACTATGCATGGCAATGTCAATATGAGAGTAAATAATATTGATGTCACTAGTTTAAAAAATGAGCGATTCGGAAAGTTTCCCTCTGACATTGAAGAAAGGGGCATTCAGAGTCATTTCTGGATTGTTTCCAGCAAGATCGAAACAGAAGTATGAATA